AGTTTTTTAGCAATAATAAGCAATAGTACTGTAAGATTTTTAAAGTGTTTTAAAAAGTACCTTTAGGAGTATGAAAAGTGACTTACAAATAATTCAGAAACCAGTAAAACTGAATAAGAGTGACTTAATTTCCATTTAATTTTCCATTCTCATTAAGCTTGGTTTATTCAGGTCTGATTAATTAATGTCTGTAAAGTGTTCTGAAAATATAAAACACTATATAAATACCAAGTAATAATAGAGTACTTACAGAAAAAATAATTTGTTAATTTGCATGGAGTTTTAGGAATTAGCATTTATTTATTTTCCCTATTGTAAGCAGGCCCATCCAATCCCTTTTAGCTATCAGAAAATGCTCTAGCACTTACAGGACAGTGCATCTTCACGTGTTTTATGTGCCTCAGTTCACAGAAAATGAATTTAGAATGACTTGGAAAGTTGTACTTATAGAGGAATACACACACGTAGGTTTTTATTCATTTTCAAATCCACTCTCCCTCCTAACTGGAACTCAGCTGCACAGCTTCCGAGATTAAAACAGCAGCACCCGGAAGGATTTCAGAGGTTGCTACATTTTGAGCTTTGTGTTTCCTCAGCCTGTTGTCCAAAGAACTTAGAATTTCACTGACCACTTCTAAAGCAATCTGAAAAAAAGTAACTAAGAAAGAATCGTATATTTTCCTACACACTTAGAGATGGATATCTTATAACACCTTGTCTCAATACATATAATTTTATACCTCTACAGCTATACAAGAGGAAAGTTATGCATATATCCAATTTTCATGCTCAGAAAGGGTGAATTTCAAAATCTACCCTCATCTACAGAAATAAAACCTTCCAGGAACAAACCACAGGCTATTGGTATAAGGACTTTAGGATATCAGTTAGTTTATGAAACAAAGGCCAGGTAGGACAGGTATGTGAGGTCCAGAACCCTGTGTGTTCATCTCAGCATAAGTCAATGAACATTGAACACTAGGAAAAATAAACAACCTGTTCTAAAATGGTGTAAAATGCACGCAGCAATACCATCTGGGATCAGATTCTACACAAGGTTGGAAACGGTGCCAGTGAGACAATAAGCACTTTGCACTCTAAATTGATCTTGAACTGGTGCTCTGGTCACCTGCTAAGAGGTAATAAGGCCATGTTTGGACAAAACAAAAACTAGGAGTTTCACATCTCAAAATATTCCTCAAGGAAAACCAACTGTGTTTTCCCATTCAACTTTGGCTGTATGCACACGGACTGGGTCACTTCCTTTTCCATACTCTTCTCAGCAGCTGGGAATGATGAAAATGAGAGTATAGTTTAACAAGAGCGTTCCCCACTATGTTCTTCTGTAAGTGCTATAGGACCAAAGCCTCTCAGCAGGCATCTGATTTACAGGCAGAGCCCTAAGAACAACTTAGCAAAGAAAAGCCGACCCTTATGGCAGAAGCAGGGTTATCACAGCTGCCATCCAAATCAGCTCCAGAGAGCGGTGCAGACTGCACGCACTTGTGATCACCCATCTTGACATTTTCTTTTTTCTTTGTCATGCCAGCCCGGGATAGTCTGCATTCTTATGGCACCCTCTCTGTGCACTTTCCCACTGTGCACAGAACCCACATTGCTCACCCAGAAGTAGAGATACGACTTTCAGAAAGCAAATCCAAAATTACTGGACTGTGCTGTTTCCATCTGGATGTAGTTCCCTTGGAAATCCCAATTCTGTGGCCCTGTGCAGTTCTTGAAACTGGATGTTTCAATTAGAAGGAGCTCAAGGATTTGGGGAGAACTGTCAGATGATGCAGAAAGGAGCTCTTTCAAGATGAAATGTTGTTTTATTTTCTCTCACTAGTGTAAATGTTTTATTTATGTATTTTGAATGAACTAAAATTGGCAATAAATAACACATTTATTATATGGAGGGTCATTCAAATTAAAATGGATAGTTCGGGAGGAGTTCCCAGTATTCCAAGATTATATTTCACTCCTCTTCCAAAAAAATATGGAAACCACCCCAAGAAACTCACAGTATTTTTACAGGTATCATACAGAAGGAAGAACAGTTGGTTTTGCTACACTAAGAATTTCTACTTTTCTCACTAAGTGTTTCTACTTTTCTCACAAGCTAACAAGTTTCCAGTTACTTCCTAATGTCCCTATCAAGGCTTAAAAATATCTGTTCCCTTTCAGTCACAGCATATAGACATTGCAGTTTATCATAATGTTCTTTTACCAAGTTATGTGGGATAAGCTCGTCTGCAGGCGCAGAGCACAGCCCATCGGTGCTGCCCTGGCCAGGATTTCACCTGCAGACTCTCCTGGCCCCTGCTTCCTTCTACGCATCTCGAACCAGCGCTTATTAATGCACTGCTGGTTTGATACTAAAGGACTAGCCAGAAATAATCTGCAATATCAATTCATTACAGCAAGATTGTCTGCTAATAAGGAGCTATTTTTTGCTACATAATGCACAAAAAATCAGCTGTATTTTCACTTAGAAAAACCCAGGAGCAATAAAACCAAAAAAAATGCCTTTCAAGCTCGCTACCAAATGTAAATGTTAAGAACATGAGATTTAATGTTAAGGGCTTCATAAACTCACTAAAGCAAGAAATCAGCTCTTTTCATCAAGCTATTATTCAAATGTTACCATGCAGTCTACCATATCTTTATCTAAAAAAAAAAAAAAGTAAGCTAGTAATGAAAAAAATATCCCAACCACTATCTCCAGTGTCAACACAATGCAATGACAGAATAAATTATCTGCAGGCTCTTTCGATTTTCTCCTGTTCAAGAAAGTAGCTTGGAAAACAAAGATAAACTCACAACCAACTGCAGCAAGAAAACAGCACTATTCCAAACCACGTGGAAGAGGATGTCGTTATATTAAAAGAACCAAAGGGGCCTACAGAAAGAGGTCCACACATTAAAGTTCATTTTTGTGTTGCAGGATTCCACAGCTAATTTCTTCTCCAGTAAGCTCTTATTGAATCCACCTTAGGCTTCTTACTGGAAAGAAATTTTTCCTTTTCATAAGACTGAGCTGCACTTTTTCATGCAAACGCTGGTGTCATTACCCCCAAACTACTATGAGGTTTTGGTAATCCCATCAAAACATTCACTCTTGCAAATCAAAGATTAAATGTTTAGCTCAAATCTTAAACTCTCCAAGGAACTCTGTGTTTTCATCTATAAACATTCACTGGTTACAATGAAAAACTGGATACACTGAAAAGGAACAGCAACCAATGCTCAGAGCAATGGCAAAGACGCAGAAATACACTGACGAGGTGATGCACAGAGCAGTTATTTTTTGCTCCAGAGCAGGCAATGCAGTGCCAGAACCTGCACCAATTAGTGACTGTTAAATGAAGCAGCACTGCAAACTGGCAAACATAAGGGAAAGAAATGCAAATACAAGCTGTTGTTCCTGCCATTGCTGTCATCAATTCTCCTATCAGCCTTGGGCCAAGCCAGCCAAGAATGCTCACATGCAACAGCAAAGTAATAGCCCATGAGACCCCCATTTAAGGACTAAGGTCATAAATTCACAAAAGACGCTTTTTGCTTCACTCCATGGTTAGTTTACAATGACAAAGCATGAGAGATTAGATTAGCTCCACTGGAAATTCAGGTTCAGCCAAGGACATTTAGAGACAGCTGAAGTGCTCATCATCTGCCATAACCACAAAGAGACGGAGTGAAACCCAGGCAAAACCCTGGCAAAGCCAGCAGGAAAACTCTGATCCAACATTCAGTATGGGCTTTCGGGTTGCATTTACTTTTCTTTTCCATCTGTGGTGCTCTGCATGGCACAAACTCCACGCCATCCATTTGAAACCAGCCATGCTATGTGCAAGACTGTTCATGAACCATCATATCTGATTCACCACTACTACTTGATAATATTCCATCCACACAATAGAGTTTTGTTTCATCTCCTACATGCTTCAAAAAAAACCACTATTGACTTTTCTGCATATAATTTCTCCTCTATCACTGGGCTGCCAGTAGTGTAGCCTTTGGCAGTAGGAACTGGAAATAAAAATAAACTAGGGTCTTATTTACCTTTACAAGCACCTTTCCTTGCCTCTGTTCTAGTATGAGAAACTAGTGGTCATGCAGAGGAAAATGCCAGTATTTGTTAGTTATAAGGTGTAATAGAAAGAAAATCAGCACAGATTGGCTTGGAAAGGAAGGGCAAATGTTCATGAGAAGTAACAAAAATTACCAGTGTTTCTGAGGGAACTGGTGTAATATCCAGGCTCTCTGGCTGTTTCTCTAAGTTTTAGACGAAAATATCCGTACTGAAATTGCTGGTCATGTGTAAGCTCTAGTACTAAAATGTCCATCAGGCCAAAACATAGACCTCCTAGAAAAGGCGCATTTGATTTTAGAAGGCAATATCTGCATTTTTTAAATAAACCATTAGCTTCAAGCTTTCTGCACACATATACCTTAAGCCCTGCCTGGCAAATATGGCCAACACCTACATATTTAGAAAGCATTTTGTCCTTTCCCTGTAACTCAAAATGGACCTTTTATTAAATTGACACTTTGCAGCTCACTAGACTGTGTGGCTCTTTGGGGAAAAGCAAAGCAGAAAACAGTCCAGTTGTTTGGTTTAGCAATGAAGTTACCCACACATGCATGCTAATTTATTTCATTGAAAATGTCCCAACTAATTGTAACATTTACCCTTAAAGCACATGCATGGCAGTCGCTTTAATACACCAGAAGACAATGGCTCCAAAGGAGCTATTACCATGTACCAGGCCAATAATCCACAAACGGTAAAGGATTTTCACAAAAGACTCAAATGGTTTCCAAGGAGCCATTATGGCCTATCAGGTAAATAAAATATTATTGAAATGTATTTTTTGCATTTAAATCACTTGCAGCAGGTGCATAGGAAGTAGCATATAATAAAATGGCTCACATTCCCTTGAATACTAACGAGAATCAACGGAAACATTTAGCAATAAGAAGCAGCAGGAAGTTCTTACCATCGCAAGAGGAACAATCCCCACAAACATGGTTCGGCTGACAAAGATCTCGGAGACCACCAGTTCGCTCAGAGAGTCATCTCGAGGGTATTCCACCTGCCACGTAATTTGCTGGGCCCCTGCCAGGCTGCTCGTGTTGTCAACCTCAAAGTCCATCTGCAGGATCTCGTAGGAGGACATGTTTGCTCTGGAAGAAAAAACAACACAAAGTTGCCCACAACAGCAATTAATAACAAAATATATTTTGATTTCTCTTTTCTGTTCACCAGAAGATTTACCATGAAATTCAACATGCAGACTTGAAGACACCAACAGAAACCTAAATCAAACTACACGTTGGGAAATAGCTAGACTTTATAGACAGGGTTACACTATATCTTTTAGTTACTTGAAATGGAAGCATTTTTCCCATTAAATTCAGGCATTCATTCTCCATAATCACAATGAACTTACAGAATAAGCCCTAAACCCAGGGAACTGCATTGCACAGATGTTGCTAAATTATTTAATATAGCATTATTATAATTTCGTTGCTGCAAATACTGATGCTCCAGAAGAACAGCAGAGCACTTGGCCATTCCTCATGCTGTATCAGAAATGAGCTCTTGTATAGGGGTAAGGGGGGACGGGGGGGAAGTCTTTCAAACCCAAACTTGTCTTTATTACAGTGAACAAATGGATTTGTAGAAATTATACAGGACAAAAAATGGGAGGTAGATTATCCTTATTTTCAATTCATGAACACATTCTTCTCGTCAGTGGTGCAGACTTGTAATTATATGGCAATCATCATATATTTCTCATCTGGAAATAAAAATTTAAAGGTAAAGAACTGGATGTAAATGCATAGCATTCAGAACTGTATGTAAAAATTACTTCTGCTTCTTTTGTTAACACCACGTAGCACGCCTCTCTGGTCCAACACTATGTATATATCAATAATTAATCCCCAGGTTAGAAAGACAGATCTTATCTTCATGTTACAGAGAAGAAAACAGACACCAAGATTTAAGCAACAGCACTTGGCGTAACCGCAGCAGGGACCTATTTAGAAAACAGACCTTTGCTCATCCAGTGGTTTTCTTCCACAAAAATTAAAGTACTTTAGAAAGTGGCATATACGTTCCCGCCCCAGTTTCCCAGACAGACACCTGCAGTGCAAAGACCTGATGCAGTTTGCAAAACAGGGAGGCAGGATGGAAAGGCATGGGTACATGCTCATAAAACAGGTTAGAACCTGAATTTGCAGCACATTGGGCTATTCTGTAACAACTTGAATGTGCTCTTAACTGTGAGCATAAGATGGCTTGTTCCCGATCTGGGGATGTGTCCTGTGCCTGCAGGCACCCCTCAGTAATCACCCACGCTCTCTCCTGTCCCATGGTACATTATTTCTGTGCCCTTACCCTAAAGAGTGACTGCAAGAGCTGTGCTCACACAAAGTTTTAACCTGCTGCTACAAAGAACAGAGACTGAAAACATCCTTTTCCTCTTCCCAACTGCACAGAGGCAGAATCTGTTTTTGCCATATGTTTTTGAAGGCACATTGTAAAGGAACAAAATTCTGAACAGGAATTATTGATTTTTGTGTTTTCTTTCTGACAACAAACACCACAAACATATGCTTCAATGCCTGGAGGATAAATATTTTCCATGCTGACAAAAGATAATATCCACCTCCAGGCAAAACTAAAAGCTATTAAAGGCATCTTTTGGGCGGGCAACCAGATAATCAGCAAAAAACTTTTAAGATAAGTATTATTACACAATACTAGGGATATAATTAAAACATTTCTGTTAAAACCATAACCACTGTGGGCACCACGACGGAGTACTCAACTTCATCATTTTCTGCGTATCACTTCTGGCAGTTTGTTTTATCTAAATTCCATAAAAATAATTTTCTCACAACAGAGAAATAAAATTCAGAGATGAGCTTTACACTAACTATGGGTCTAGATTGTGGGCCTGTCAAGGTATGTTTAGATCTGCAATTTAGGTTCAATCTGTTCAAGTCAATAGTTGCCATTCACAAAAACAGCCACGAGTGGTTTCAAATTTGGAACAAAACACAAAGCGTTTTGCTTTAGATTCACCAGTTAAATAGTATGTCAGGTTAGTCTGCATTGATAAATCCATCCCACATGTTCCACTGACACGCACTTCTCTGACTCGGTCCATCATGCCTTCAATTATTCCTTTCCTGTTTCCCTTTTCACACATCCAAAAAGTAACCATAATAGTGATTTTATATTTTTAAGACAGTCTGGGACTCGGATCTCCCCAAGAGAAGCATGTGTGTGCCTTGCCTATATAGCAAGCTGAAGCAATTACCAGGGAGTAAAATGACTCTTATGCCTGTAAATATGCAAAGACCTTCACTGCATCCTTAGCACGGCTGTGTAGCTATAACAGATATAAGTTTCATTTAAAGGCGGACATGGTTATACACTGCTGGATTAGAAATGAGTCTGTATGCATCTAGTAAAGAGTAGCAACTCGCACACATAAACCTTCCTCAGATCAAACTAATATTAACATATAGAACTAAAGCAAAGCCGACTTCTCGGGTCTCCCAGGACCCAGGACTTCCTAGGTCTTAGTTCCAAAGAGAATCCTTATCATTAGCTGGTGAAGCAACATGGCTTGTCAAATCTTTTCTGCTTTGTCTCAGAAGCAAATCACGTAGCATATCAATATTGATTAAAGGAGGATTCACTTCTTTTCACTCGGACTTTTGCTGAAAGAGATGGACTTATTGTATCTAACTCTCTTTCACTTACAGAGTTTCTCCACTGAGTGTATAGCTTTAGCAAACCAGTATTCAACTTTCTGGAATCCTTTATTCACCAGCAGGTTTCCAGTTCCCTTCAGAACAGCCGGTCAATGAATTTTCTCTAAACTTACGGTTTCCCTTTTTCCTCTTTAGGACAAAGCTTCACCCTTCAAGCAATGCCAAGCGTTACAGTATCTGGGACACAGAGTACCCCACAGACTAATCCACCCTCTTTGTTCTAAGTCTCTTCCCAGGTTACAACTATAATGAATCCATGATAAAACCTGAAAAGTGAATTTCTTTCTTGCTCAGACTAGTGCTTTCCTACTGGCCGCTGCATCTCTTATGCTACAGGGGCTTCTTTCCTAGCAGGAAGATTGGTACTATATTCATAATACCTGCAATTTATTAACCATCTTCTCTAATACCGTGTGGGAGACCACTGCCTTTTTCCACTGAAATTGATGGAGGTTGCTAAAGTAAAACCAGAGATACATTAAACCATAATCAAGACCTTAAAGGTTAGCATTTACTTATGTCAACTCCATTAGCTGATAAATCCACATTGCAACACCTGTATATAAATTTCTCTCCTGGCTACGCAGCATTACACTATAACCCTTTTTAAAAGAAGTCACTCCACCTTGCCAAGCCAAATCTTCAGCTTTTAGTTTGATTTGTAGCTGGTGGCCAATATGTTGGTCTTTGTAGTCACTGCCCGATCTGCAACAGCCTGGTGAAGACAAAACGCTACCAGTGGGAAAATCCACTAGCAGAGAAGATAACGACTGTAACTCATGCTGTTATCAGCCATTAAATCCTGCTAAACCAAACTTTATCCTATAAAGATTTTTCAGCTTTTTCTTGAGACTTATTCCATTTTTCTCTTAAATAAGTTTGCACAATTGGGAAGAGTCTGATGGAATCCAAGGACTATAAATCACTTCCCCTTTCCACATCTTTCTTCTCTTTTCAGTTAAATATTTCTATTGTCCAGTGAAGTCTTTTCCCGGTTTACAAGGATTTTGCCAAACCCTAGTTTAGATGAGCAATAAAAAATAAAAAGTCAAAATTACTTTTATAAAAAAAGATTATTTCCTGCAAGCACAAGGAAAAGACCTTATAATTTTAGGCAGCTGGCATGCTTGCTAATAAGTCCATTTCTATGGAAATGAGTTCATAACTATTAATTTTGCCTGCTCCTGATCTATTCTTGATGAGCCTTTCAAATTTAGAAAAGCGCTTCATGATTCTCTCAATTTGGTAATTACTAACTCCCTTTGATGAATCCAGCCCAGTGTTTCAGACATGAGACATTCATTACACATTTTTCTTTCTGGTGAGAAGAGAAAAAGAAACCACGGGCTTGGATTTATTTCCTCTCACAAACTCCAGTAAGTAGGCCCTCTTCTTCAACTTGTAATTTATATTCCTGTTTGTGTAATTTCACAATGCTGCCTCGGCTAGGTGCTAGAAGAACCCCCAAAACCTTGAGATTTCTGCAGAATTTCCTGTTGTCTAGCCTCATATATATCTAACGTATTCACACCAGGTCCCCAACAGCCCAGCAAGCTTTGTAATATAGACAGTCTTTATTCTGTACCCAGCAGTTAGCAGGCATGGTTGTGATCCCAGCCTGGAATAGAACAGAATTTTAGCCCAGAATGGACGGAATGGTAAATCTGTGCCAAATAAAGCCCACTCTAGCTCCAGTCGACTCCAGAATAAGAAGAGTTAATCAGGACAGGAAAATGTTGCCGAGTCCCAAAACTATCCTGCAAGGGACACGTCCAGGCGCGTGGCTGCAGAGCCCAGCTGCCCTGCCCGACTTGCCAACTTGAACTTGAAGCATTTCCTCTGGATGTAAGTTAAGCCATAAAGGAGTGAGCGCTCCACCCAGAGGCAGAGCCTCTCCTCAGTTAAAAACACTCGTCCGATGGAACAAATCACAGACTGCACAAGCCTCTAGAAAATTTAGGCCTGGCTTTCAAGTGCTCCTAAGCACCTGAGAGAACTGTTGCATTGCTGCATTCAGATGTTTTGGAAAGATTCACACTGGTTTTGGAGGGCTATTTATCATGTTACCTTGTTACATATATTCTGATTGATTTTCTTCCTTTCTTCCTGAATCTGCTAGTGTATGCAAACAGCAGGAAAAATATATATATATTAAAACTGAATCTAAAAGAAAATGCCAATATCAGATTTTTTTCCTCCACATTTATTACCTTATTAAGCATTTATATGGAACTACATAGGCTGTTTTTTTCCACAAAATAATAGATTACTGTGCAGGTCCACCATAGCGGTGTTAGGGGTTTTAATATGTACTACAAAATCACCTGGCACTGAAATAATACTGAATTCAATTTATTCCTAATTTTTGTCTAAGACAAACATGGAATTACTGA